AGATAGATAGATAGATATAGATAGATAGATACATTAGATAGATAGATAGATAGATAGATAGATAGATAGATAGATAGATAGATAGATAGATAGATAGATAGATAGATAGATAGATAGATAGATATAGATAGATAGATAGATAGATAGATAGATAGATAGATAGATAGATAGATAGATAGATCTATATCTATAGATATCTATCTATATATGGATATATAGATATATATATATTTATATATCTATAGATAGATGATAGATAGATAGATAGATCTATATCTATAGATATCTATCTATATATGGATATATAGAGATATATATATTTATATATCTATAGATAGATAGATAGATAGATAGATAGATAGATAGATAGATATCTATATCTATCTATAGATAGATAGATAGATAGATAGATAGATAGATAGATAGATAGATAGATAGATAGATAGATAGATAGATAGATAGATAGAGTGATACCCATATTCTCCAACATATACTACTTTCCACAGTATTTTTCGAGTTTCTCAAGAGCAAAAAAAAAATGCTAATCATAAAAAGGAGGAATTTGTTCTTTTAAATTGTGCAATATGGCTAAAACTGATAAATAGGCAAAGTAAAGACTTAGAGATGCTAAAGTGGCCCAATATAAAATGTTTTGGGTTTTTTACTGGTGCTATAAATGTATAAATATGTTACATGGCTGCAGTGGGGGATCTAGACCAAATGTTCCCGGTGGCCAAGAGGGGGCCAGAGTGTTTTTATGGGGGGCCAGAAAAGCATGAAATAAAAAATACACTTCTGCATGAAGTGAAATTTCTATGCAATTAGGTTTAATTAAAATTCTATTTCTTATGAGGTCAATATACATTCATAATTTAGGAATTTTACATTTTTTTGACTTAATTTAAGTTAAAATTACAGTTTTCTATAAAATCTGAATTAAAACTCAAGAAAAACTGATATATTCAGCCCCCAAAATTAGAGCAATTTGTTTTGAAAAAAAAACATTTAGCAGAGGAAAACTGGGATCCTATCACAATACCACTCATGCTATCACCTTAGTTTTTAAATAATTAGTAACACAGAATTTGTAAAGAAAAAAAATGAAATAGATCCAAAAGACCTATTAGTAACCATGTCTGTTCCAGCGCATATCATCATTAGAATTTCTTTTAAGTTTTATGGCTTCAGTACAGGGGCCATAACAGGGGCCAAGACATGATCTACAGGGGCAATGGCCCCAGTTGGCCCCTATCTAGAACTGCCCATGCATGGCTGTTTGAGTGGTTATCTTTGTTTGTTTTTTCAGTTTTTTTAGGAAGTCAACCAGAGCTGTAGGGCTCCACTTTGTCTCTAAAGCATCCAATAAAGACAGGTTTTAGTTTCTCCTCTCATATAATTTCTTGCTGTTGAATGATTGCAGGGGGATTCATTTCTGTTTGCCTTGATCTTACCTCCATGGTGGACATTGCATCTTAAATATATGTTCCACACTGGATTATACTTTGTTTATTAAATGATTGGTGTTCTGTAATTTGTAGCCATAAATTGCAAGGATAAATGTTTTATTTATACCTACCAGGTGTAAATACTATTTACGCTTTTCAGAGAACTTGATTACTTAATGTTTTACTTGTATAATTTTTTTGAAAAAAACAAAAAAGTTTAACAAAAAAAAAAACCCATGATAAATAAAACTGGTGGTCCAGAAATGTTAAATCTCTTTTTCTTTGCTTACAAAGTATTTATTTTGAGGGGGAAAAAATGTGAGGCTTTAATGTAGGCGTTAAAGGTCACTTTTGAACGTGGGAATACTTCATGACAAAAACAAAAAAACAGCCAAAACAAATCTTAAGAGAAGGTGCGATTGCCAGTCATGTGTATAAGGTTCAATTATGGTCAACAACAGCCAAGCTGTTTTTCTTTGTTTCTGGATTGTTTTTGTTTTCTTTTATTACCAGATTCCTGAGTTCCTTAGTGTAATTTGTTCAACCGCTGATGGCTGTGAGAACTGACAGTAAAACGCTCTTACACAATCGTCAGTCAAAACATGAACTTGTTGCTGCCTGAGGGGATCTGCGGTACATTTTAAAAGGTGACACTAGCTTTTATGAGAGAACATGCCTTTTCTATTCAGCTGTTTTTCAGGCCAGATGTTTGAACAGCCAATACCTGCAAGCTAACTCAGTGGGTTGGGCCCCACAGTGCAATTCCTCAGCAATGAGGGACGATTTGGAGAACTTTACTGCAAATTATCGGCAGTACCTTGCATTTAAATACAGAATTTGTGGTTTTCTTGTAAAATAAATTTGACATTTTGAAATGAAAGAGCAAACTAGTTGATTGGTAAAACATGTTTGACTGGTCTAGATTGTGCAGCTTTTCTAGTGTTATCTGGTCTGGATTTGCTCTTGCACTTAAAAGCATTAAATATGCTGCAACATGTAGTTTGTATCGTGTAAAGTCCCACGGTGTGCCACTCTTATCCTATGCCCATTTTAGCAGAAGGTTGAGATGCTTTATGGGCAGAGCAGAATAATC